GTGTGTGTGTGTGTGTGGGGGGGGGGGGGGGGGCCCTGCCATGAGGAAGTTCGGCTTAAAGACACGTCCCAGGGGCGTTTCTGGTCCCAAAAGGCGTTTCTGGTCCCCACCTGTCGTTTTGCTCCTCAGCATGGCTTCCTAAAAACACTGCAGGATTTCTCAAACATGCATGAATGAGTCAAAGCAAGGCTTTGGACATGTTTTTATGAGCGTATAACATTATAACATGATAAAAAACTCAAAAAGTTGATTTTACATGATATTGCCCATTTAAGAAATGAGAAACAGCTCATTGCACCAGTTGGGGTTAAATAACTTGTTGCTGAAAGATAATCACCCATGCAGTAGTTATCCAAAAGGAGACTTTTTTTGGTCTGGCAGTGTACTAAAACATCATAAAAGTGCAAACAACAGCATGATTTTTATGTGCCTTTAAATGTGTGTCTAAGTATGACTATGTACCATATGTTTTTACTTCCCATTGATACATCATGTGTGTACTTGTTCTCAGGAGTACTTGGCGAGACTCAGGCAGATCCGTTTGCAGAACTTCAATGAGCGTCAGCAGATCAAGGCCCGGCTGAGAGGAGAGAAGGTGCATTTTCCCCACCTCCAGGGCCTCAGATGTGTCTGTACTCTTCCTCCTTATTGTTGTTTTTGTTGTGTGTTTCAGTATGACAGCGACGGCTCTGATAGCCAGGAGTCGAACGAGGAGGCGGAGCTCAGGAGAAAGAAGATGGAGGCTTTGAAAGTGAGTCTTCAAGAAGCATAAAGCAATCTTTGCATCATGCAGCTTTTTCTTTTTCTTTCATAACCTTGTGATGATTGTGATTAGAGTCATACAGTCAGAAGATGAGCCCTAAGTTTCCTTCATGTGCTGTCTGTGCGTCTTTTTCAGGCTCAGGCTAACGCCCGCGCTGCTGTGCTTAAGGAGCAGCTGGAGAAGAAGAGGCAAGAAGCGTATGAGAGAGAAAAGAGAGCCTGGGAAGACCATGTAGGCTTTTATTTCTTATTTTACCCAAACAAAGTGAAACGAGCTTCTTCTAACATCGGCCGTTTTGTTGTGAAAGCTTTCAGCGGCTCGGGCTGTGAAGTTGGGCGCTGCAGCTGGGAGTGCAGCAGCACTTGAAGCATCTACCTCTGACGGTCCTCTTCCAGAACCTCACTCTTCCCAACAAGAACCGTGTGCCAAAGCTTCAGCCCTGCCTGCACCCCAGCCCTCCACCCCAGCTATATCCATGACTGCTGCCCTGAAGAATGTTGGAGCGGTCAGTGTGTGTGTGTGTGTGTGTGTGTGTGTGTGTGTGTGTGCGTGTGTGTGTGGAAACTCTGGGGTTTGAAGTGTGTAACTCCGGCTTGTATGAATTTAGTGTTTTGTGTGTTTGTCAGATCACTTCGCTGAAAGAAAACTCGAATCAACCAGAAACGGTGACAGTGATCCAGGTGGGGTTTGTCCTCATTTACCAATCAACAAGTAAACAAATAGAGACTGTTAATGGGTWTTTAACAGGTTTTATGATCCTGTTTTTGAATGATTATTGTGTAACAGAGTGAAAAGAAGGAGATTCTGCGTAGACTAAACCAGAACCTAAAAGCTCAGAGCTCGGTGGGCGAGGTGGAGGGGTCTCCTGTGGACCAGCAGAGTCAGCCTGAAGCTGACAAACGTCCCTCTTCAAATGGAGATCGGAAGAAGTGGGAAGCAGCACAGCTACACACACTTCCTGAGCCTCAAACCTTTGAAGAGACCTGTGCCAATTCAGCCAGTGAGTTCAGACCTTTTTTTTTCTTTTTTGAACAAGATTAAATTTTATTATTTATTTAAAAAAAACTATGTTCCACTCTCAATTCAAACCCAATATACAGCACATTAAGTCTCAAACATTGTTTTTCAGTACAACCAAACAAATCAGTTAAACATCTGGACGAGCTGACATCCCAAAAAAATCTTTTCTCTGAAGCAGTGGTTTTTAACCTTTTTTGAGGTACTGAACCCACCAGTTTCGTATGCGCATTCACTGAACCCTTTTTAGTGATAAATAAAATATGATTTTTTTTTTTCCAAATTCAAGACATACTGTAGGTA